GTCCATTGGCTATGAAGAGCTGGGGTAATGCATGGCTCTCCAATCAATATCTAACCGCCTCGCCAACGTTCCATGGCTCTTCGAAAAAATTATAAAGTTTAATTCAAAGATTATTACTTTTATGTCATTGCCGATTGGACTATAGAGGTTCGACCTCACCCCAGATTCTTGGCCCGTTTCCTGACAGCCTCGATGCCGATGGGCCAGACCTTCCTCAAAGGATGTAGTGTAGAAAGCTTCACAATATCAGCAGTGGAATATCAACTGCCGAGAACCACGGAGGTTCTCATCCCTTCATGGCGAGCTAAGAGGGCATGACGTTGAAAGAAGGTTCGAGGAGGAAAGATATATACCATCAGTGTCTGCGTCATTGAGTTCCCATTACCTTGCGGTTGGGAGAACACATAGCTTGGCATTTACACCACTCCGCACAAGATGAAGGGCTTCATCAAGGCTACCATTACCGCGGCTCTGGCTGCACAGAGCGTCTCGGGGCACTATATTTTTCAGGCTCTCAGCAAAGGTACTGCTAAAGGTACACCGTACGAGTTTGTGCGCCGCAATACCAACTACAATTCTCCGGTAACCGGTGGGTTTAAACATAACCACGCTTTGACGCTAGTGTGAACTCTAATGTGAATCTGCAGATCTCTCTTCGAAGGACCTTCGGTGCAATGCTGGCGGTGCCACCGGCGGGAGCACCAGCACCCTAGCGTTGAATGCCGGTGACCAGTTCACCTTCAGTCTCGACCAGGCTTTATATCACCAGGGACCAGTCTCACTGTTAGTCAGCCCAATTTGAGCCGCAGTAAGGAAGATATAATCAGCTAACACTCATGAAATTCTAGGTACATGTCTAAGGCCCCTGGCACGGCGGCCGAGTATGATGGTAGCGGAGATTGGTTCAAGATCTTTGATTGGGGTATGTCATTGCCTACGAGACGAGTGTGTTATTATTATTACATCCCTAACTAGAAGCTCAAACAGACCCGAAGTTTGGAAACGGGCAGGCTCAATGGACTATGACAGGTATGAAAACTAATCACAAAATGCTGGTTCTTCTGCACGATACTGACTTGATACTAGGCACTTACTCTGGCAACATCCCCAAGTGTATCGCCGACGGCGAGTATCTTCTGAGAATTCAATCTCTTGCGATTCACAATCCTGGGGCCACTCCCCAGTGGTACATCAGCTGCGGACAGGTCAAAATCTCTGGGGGCGGAAGCAAGACGCCTTCGCCAACAGCCAAGATTCCCGGCGCTTTCAAGGCGACTGACCCTGGTTACACCGCGAACATTTACAATAATTTTAACAGCTACACGGTGCCCGGTCCCTCTGTCTTCACTTGCTAAGTAGACTCGTAAAGTTGACCCAGTCGCGATAATGGATGATGGCGCACATAGTGCATCAGATAACCAGTCATGGGGCAGGGTGTAGGTTGAAGTAGAATGTATATAGGGAATGATAATCATTCTTTACTATATTGTACTCATTGGTTAGCATGCACAACTATGCCCAAATCATGCCGTGAAATTGAAACTCGCTTTACAGTTACTGTTATCCCTTACACATCTCTAGATTTTCGGGCGGTGATCATCGTACGCATAATGCCCGTCTATCCGGTCCGACTGAAAGATGAACGCTGAATAACGAGTTATAGGAAAACTTCATCCGATAATGCCTAGCATAGCCGCCTGCACGGCTTGATTTGGGAGATCCAGCATCGCCTTATTCACCGATTGTAGCACATATACGTACAGTAAGCTTCTCAGAAATGAAATGATCAACCATCCCTCTCCACATAGATCTTAGCTAATGATCGCCAAGAAGGGTCCGTCAGTTTCATAGCTTCGGCCCCGCGATTTCATTCCCCTTTATAGCGATGCCCCCGAATCAAGCTTTCTATAATAGATATACTAATGGAAAATCCGGTATGATCGCCAGAGTTATGACATTCGCGGCATGATAGAAGACTCCAAACCTGAACGCTAACTTCTTGTAACTTGGCTGCTTCGAAGTTTAGTGCTAAAGATCGTCGCTTTAGTCTCAAGATGTATCATGTGTCTATTTAGCAGACACGCGGCTTGGACAAGATAATACGCTTGTTTATGCGGCTAGGTATCGACTATTCTGGAATCTTTAGCTATTCGATCTTAGATTAATGAAGTGATTGGTGAGTGATGCTACCACCACTCCGCCTTCCTTCGGGCTCCCTATCGCCGTCCCCCCAGATGCAGTAGGTATTCCAAGATACAATGACATCACATAGAGACCCCTATTGTTAACAAGCCTGGCGGCCGCCTTTCACTAACACCTCCAGACAATATAGATAGCTAAAGAGAAAAGTACATAAACGTCGCGTCGTTGAGACCTCTGAATTGAGTCCCACCACGTCCAGTTTTCTAGCCCAACGGTTAACCCTACCTCCCACCGTATAATTACCCTGATTTCAGCGTCTCTTTATCACCATGAAGCTCACTACCGCATCTATTACCACGCTAGCTGCGAGTGCATCTGCACTTCCACAGGCAATAAGTCCGTCCTCCCGTCTCTCTTTGGCATTACCAAGCTTGGCACTAAGAGAACAACAGGTACACCTCCAAAGCGCGATGCTGGGGTCCAGTATTTCGGTGTCAACATCGCTGGATTCGACTTTGGCTGTGGTATAGATGCAAGTAGCACCTCAAACCCTATTAACCAAAAAAAAAAAAAAAAAACTAATGGGAAGTAGGGAGGTTGCGATACGGCCGGCGTGGGTCCGCCTCTATCGACACTCGGCGGCCCTGATGGGTAAGTTATGACACCCGGCTTAAGTTCGACGGTAGGGCTGGTATGTTAACGATTCCCAGAGCGGGACAGATGTCTCATTTCGTGAACGATTTATCTATGAATATTTTCCGACTTCCAGTGGGATGGCAGTACGTGCTCCCGTCTCGCCACAAGCCCACAAGCTCCAGCCAGACTCTAATGATGGAGTTGACTATTAACGACACCTAAGTGCCGCGTTCTAACTCTTCAATTCCTTCTAGGTTCCTCGTAAATAATCAATTAGGTGGCCCGCTCGACTCCAATAACGTTGGCCAGTACGACCAGCTCGTCCAGGCATGCTTAGCTACCGGTGCTTCTTGCATTATTGATGTGAGTACAGAGCACCGACGCTTTCAATATTAGGCAATTGGATTTCTAACAGAAGATGACTCATAATTAGATTCATAACTACGCCCGTTGGAACGGAGGAATTATCGGACAAGGCGGCCCAAGCAATGACCAATTCGCCAATCTCTGGAGCCAGCTGGCGACAAAATACGCGGGCGCGGAGAAGGTTATCTTCGGGCTCATGAACGAACCTCACGACGTCCCAGACATTGGCGCATGGGCTCAGAGCGCGCAAGCCGCCGTGACTGCCATCCGCCAAGCCGAGTCGGCGGCCGGCGGTGCTGCGCACATGATTCTCATCCCTGGGAATGACTGGACTTCCGCAGGCGCGTTTGCCACAAATAGCGGTCCCGCACTCTTGGGCGTTGTGAATCCAGACGGCAGCACAACGGGGCTCGTGTTCGACGTACACAAGTACTCCGACACCGACGGCTCCGGAACCCACACGGAGTGTGTGACGGATAACATCTCGTCGGCATTCGCGCCGCTCGCCGACTGGCTGCGCAGCAACAACAGACAGGCCTTGAATACGGAGATGGGCGGCGGCAACACGCAATCCTGCGAGATGTATGTCTGCGATCAAATCGCGTACTTGAACCAGAACGCCGACGTCTATCTCGGTTACGTGGGCTGGGCAGCGGGATCGTTCGATCCCGAGAAGTATGAGCTGAGCGAGGTTCCGATAAATAACGGGGGTTCCTGGACCGATAGTGCTCTCATCCAGGCCTGTTTCAAGAAGGCCCAGTAAATTGGGGTCGAGAGTAAGCGGTTGCGTTACTTATGGATATTGTATATATAACACATACTGGCATGAAGACAGTGCTGTCATCCCGAGAAAAGATGTTTCGCTCCATGTAAATAGCTAGACCCGATAATCTGAAGATACCTACCTACCTCAGTCGATCGTGACGAAGATTGCTCGCCTCGAATGATTCCATTCATCCTCTTGACGATGTAGGGTGTCCCAGTTCCGGTAATTAGGCACACCAAGTAGCCTCGTTTGATATCCCGCGGCCCGACACCGACCATATTTTCGCCCTTTGGTCTAGAAGATTCGCAGATCCTAGTGAATCTTGTCCAAAGCCTATGCGACACCACTAATCCCCTATCCCCTATTCCTGCTCCAGCCTGAGTCCAAACTCTACCTCAGGCGTCTCTTTTATATGCATCTTACATACCTCTTTTTCATCTGATTCATCTCGGTCAATACATATTGTGTCAATCCACAGCGGTTGTCTTCGCTTCTTTGCACAGAGTCGGACCATCGTTGGTCTTCCCGAAATGGTGAGACCAGCACCAAAAAAGCGTCGCCTTACTAGTAAACCCTTTCTTGCTCTCCGTGTTACTGCATGTATGGCGTCTGTAAGATGTTACTCGTGACCAAGCTCTCTTCCAAAGCGCGGCCCTCGGTTCTTATGAATAGGATCATTTTGTATTGTTGGTGTACCACGCAACGAGATTGGATGTACAGTATGCATTCATTATCAGATGGACGAAACTCATGCATTTTCGGAGGATGTGTACAGTAGGTATTAGCTTGGCACCGTACAGTAGCCGATTTCCCCACGAACACAGTGTAAGATGATCCACCTCCTAAACCGGCAATATGACTGTGGTCAAAGCCTATGATAGAGCCCGATCGTACTGTGTCCCTTCCAAACACAGTGCTTAAAAAAGGTAAGCCGTAAGCAGCTCATACTTTCCTAGGACGAGTCTGCCAGCTAGATAAAACCGAGCTTACCCACAACAAACTTGTTCCAACCCCTATATTATACAACGCTCCCTCGCAGGGCTCTATACATGACTCCATTCCACGATGGCCGTCACCAAATGAAGCGAATGGCAACGTGGCTGAGTGGTTAAAGCGTATGACTAGAATAAATCACATCCGGACTAGACTATCATATCCCTTCGGGGTCACAGGTTCGAGTCCTGTCGTTGTCGATAAACTTTTGCTTTTTCCGCAAGTCTTTTCAAAGCTGCCCTCTCAGGCGATGTTACTATCTATATAGCTTTTATGGTTTGTTGCGGCCTGGTGTTGTAGTATTTAGCTAAGTAAAGCCTTATGCTAATAGTAACTAATTGCATTGACTCTACAGTAACGCCTACTAACTGAACCTGGACATAGTAGAGAGGCGTTTGTTTACTTACAGTAAATTATCGCCTACTGGCACAATGTATTCATTTCTGCTCGGGCCCTGTTGAACAGACCATTGGGTCGCCTGATTTAGCAATGTCCTCCTTTGACTCGTGGTGTGTTGCTATAAACTAATCATCGTCACCCGAGAACGAGCCCTGAAACTCCTTTGCGGGCTTCCTTTGGCCATAAGTACACCATAATTTGTCTTACAGGAGTAGTATCATTATGACAACCTCACAACTAGCTCATTATTCATGAAGAGAAATTATTGGCTCGATTGTAGATAACCAGTTTACGCGGCATGTCCTATACCTTTTCGAGCACTGTCTCACAATCACCATTCAAGCAAGAGAATATCCTGATCGCTCCTGTTTCCCACCTAGGGATATAAATTAGCATACAGCAATCAAAATACAGTCATAGGGATTCTGATAAGACGGCAAACTAGAATGAGACATGGTGAAACCCAGCATTTATTCCTGACAGCTTCCCTACTGACGCAACGCCGCCGGATTTCCTCCCTGTGCCCTTTTCCTTTCTAGGTGTGAACCTTGGGTATATCTGATCAAGCCTCTATCCGCACTCCAATTTTTCCCAACCGTCCAATACAGCTGCCTGATTTACACGCCCAAATGCCCCTGCCAACATGTTGACTCCGTAGAAACCACACAAGAAAAAAAAGAAAATTGGGTATCACAAAACTCCCTGCTCTGAAAACAAGTGCAGACCATCAAATTCCCATGATTCGCAGTCCCTGTGGCCAAGACACCAATGTCTTGTGCATGCGCCTTGTGATGCAAGAAACCCAGAACCTCCCTGGGCAAAACAAGAGAAAGAAACGTGGCACCAAATTTACCACCTAACCCAGTTCATGACGATGAAGCAACTATCCCCTCCAAGGAACATTTGCCTCTGGGTACACTTCTCGAAGCCTTCATCTGCGCCAGCAAAAACAATAGTTTTCAGCTCCCATGCTCTGTATCATCATTACGAGCACATCGAGCAGCCCATTGCCTTCTCAGCCGTCAGCTAGGATCAACCGGTCTCGGCATACAACACACACTAAGGACATCATCCTCGCCGCGGGCGAGGAGATTAGTTGCCGTCCCAGGTGGGGTAGTAGACATAGTGGTCCTGACCATCCTCGACTGGCTCAGCCTTGATCTCAGGAGACTCCCATCTCAGAGCCTTCCGCAGCTGCGCGGTGTAGGACTCGTCGTCGTCGTCATCGCCAGGCTCCATCTTGATCTGGGGTGACTCCCATCTCGCAGCCTTCCGCGGTCGCGTGGTATAGGCCGCCTCGTCGTCGTCGTCGTCGTCTTCCCAGATGCGAAATCTCTTTCTGCCCTTGGAATGGTTGCGATCGTTGCTCGCCTTTAGCAACGGCGAGATTGGGTAGTTTGAATGTGGCTCGACCTCATCCAATAGGGAGGGATCTGCAACGCTAAGAAAGTCCTTGACCATGTCGTCTGCTTGGAGGGGGTCTACAAGTTCTGGGAACGACACTTGCTGACCCAACATCGGGAAAACAATATTAGAATTGAGCAACGACTCCTGAAGGGGTGCGATCTGACGAGGTATGATGGTGGCTCCGTAAGGATAGTCGTAATTGGAGTTGGGAGGAATGTTTTCCTGTTCGTAGAGAGGATCGATGCCATCGTAGAGAGCATCGATGTCATCGTAGAGAGGATTGATGACATCGTAGTAGGCGTCGATACCAGCGTGGTTTGCGGAGTTATCTTCCACCTGGCTGGGGTTGTAGTTACCAGCGTAGTTTGGTGCCACATACATCTGTTCAAGGCGAGGATCGATATTATCGGCGTAGACTTCGTTGCCAATAGAGTTTAGGGAACTCTGCTCAGAATGAATGATGTTCTGGACACGAGTGTAGTCCGGTTTGTTCTGTTCTAGGATCTGGGCTAAACCTAGAGTCAGCTGATCACGCACTTTGAATCCTTCTGTCGATGGTGAAGGGGAACCTTACCTTCTGCCTGTGAATGGCCAGGAGATGGGATCCAGCGCGGGATCCATTTTTGGGTTCCGGCCGTCACCATCCCTCTCATCTCCAGCTCTCTATTCAGTGCTCTGAGATCCTGGAATAAATTTTCGAACCGCTCCCCAAGTAAGGGCTCGAGCGGGTCTGGAAAGTTGGCGAGGTAGTTGGTGGCCTCTGGGAACGTGAAATGTAGTGGTGACTTAGGTGCTTCGCCGACGTCGCTAGGTCGGACAGGGTCATATGGCAGGGGACGGCCGCAAGACGACGTGGATGAAGGCATCGTGGATGAAGACATCGTGGATGAAGACATCGCGGATGAAGGCATCGTGGATGAAGACATCGCGGATGAAGGGATCGCGGATGAAGACATCGCGGATGAAGACGACGTGGATGAAGACGACGTGGATGATGATGCTTGATGATGAAATGCAGATCACTGATGAAGATTCACGGCAGTGATGATGCAGTAATAGTAACGATGATGGAATGCCACGATGGTGGGATGCCACGATGATCATGAGATGGGGAGATGTGGTGGTTGTGGAGGTTGTGGAGGTGGCGGAGATGGTGGGAGGTGGGAGGAGAGCCTTTTATAGATATCTGAGAAGGTAGAATTGGTTTGTTTGCTACATCACATGATAAGTAGAAGAGAATATCTGTAGGTAATGGGATCGACTGACAGTGAACTCTGTGATGGCAGATGGCCCGGCAGAAAGTGTCAGACCGCCCGCTACAGCGATGTTTTTGCCGTGAATGTACGTCCTATTTCGGTGAGCGGTGAGCTTAGTTTCTGATCATTTAATGGTCATAGCATGTTGGTAGTGGAGGAACAAGTGCCATCTATATTTAGGTCTATTCATTCACGCGTGTCTGTATGATGACGTGGTGACAGTCAGTACACGTCTCTTCGAGAAGCGCGCCTACATGTACAGCATCCCGTAGGTAGCGTAGGTCACTGAGGTCTACCCCTTATAATCCTATGAGGGCTACACGCGTCGTCATAGCTGGGCTCGACTTCAGAATGAAGATCTCGGCACGTGAACTTACAATGACGATGTTAAGGCCAAGAACATGCCGCATGTAATGATATCACAACGAAAACTCCCCAATTAGGCTCATAGTATCATATATACAGCAGTTTGTGTATTTGCTGGTGCTCACGTATTGGCTATTTCAAAATTTAACTTGGTTCAAGTAAAATTAATAGGAACAGAGTTGGTTTGTCCTATCCTAGGCAGCCAGTAATAGTTGATGCTCCAACAAGCCCTCGGAGTATCGTTGGAGCTTGAATCTTAATACTACAGCACTGATAATAAGGCAAGTCGATGATGGTTTAGATAAGATGCTCCTTACAGTCATGAAACTCTTTCCCTATCCGCAAACAAAGATATAGGTATAATCTACCCATATCCTTCAATGTGTGCAGAATATCTCTAGGAGTGGAATTGAGAACTAATAGATGATATAGAATGAAACGAAATGAAAAATTCTACACCCGAAAGAAATATAGCAAAAGATATATACCGAACTGGCCAAGACAAGGTTCTATGAGTCTTTAATTATTAGCAAGGTTAGGTAGTAACAGTTTATATCAACGTAGCTGTCCACAAGGCAGTATCGGGAATAGAAGATGAAGATAGTGAAGTTACCGAAAGTGTGGCTAATGTTCAGATAAACTTCCCGCAGGTAATACGAGAGCACTAAAAATATGTAAATACATCATCCTAGCCCGATTTCTCTTGTATGCCACTTGAGGATTTAACATGTTGTATGGATGGCGATCAATGTGTAAAATTATCCTAGTATGTTCATGGATGACCTGCTGCTCATTCAAGACGCCGAGTCATCCTAACGGTACACATACAACTAGATAAAAAATCATACGAAATTTTATTGTAGAGATACCTGTGGATGAGGAAACCACACTAGCCGAAATTCCTTTTCTGTGCACCCATCGTCATACATGCCACTCGCCCACTTACGGGGGGCTGGCAGGGACGACTCCCTGAGTGATTGAGGAATACGGAAGGGAATTTACAGCCGGGCCCGGGTAAAACGCTCCGGTCCATTTTCAACTTTAATCAACTGGCTACTGCGGCGGCTCTTGCTGATCGAGCAATGCAGCCGCTGCCCCCTTGGCCTTGGCTGCTTACCTAACAACAATATATTTAGGTAGTAGCATGGTCTACGCTTTCAGCTTCATTCACTGTCACACCAGCGCATCATTCACCCACCAGGAACTAGAACAGCTAGGACTACCGCGTCAGGAATCAATATAATTAAGAGCTATTCGCGAAGAACTTGGTAATCTTCTGCGTACCAGACAACTTGGCCGTCTTGGCGGGACTTTTGGTGTTGTTACTCGTGGCGCTGATCTTCCCCCTGCCGCCTCGCAACGGTTCCTTTCTCTTCTTCATGTCTTGACCCCCCTCACTCTGCACCGTGCTAGGCGTCTTTCTAGGCGGCCCCTGGCCCGTCAATTCATCATCCGCTTCCCTCTTGACACCGGCAAAGACATTTACATCTACGTCCTCACGCTTTATTTTGGGTTCTTCCTCCCTCGTCGTGCCTTCGACCACGAATCCCTCGTTCTCAATGACTTCGATTTCGGGCTGCCCTTCTACCTTGACCGGGTTATCTCCTGTGCCGCTTTCTTCTATTTTTACGATTTTGTCTTCTTCTTCTTTGTTCTTCTTCACAGTAGCAGCACCCTTCGCGAAGAAATTCGCAATGTTCGACTTGTTCTCCTTGCTGTCGATAGGAATAATAAATGAAGGCGAGTTGTTGCCCACTTTCCCCACGTCCTTA